AAGTAGCATAGAACTTTAACTTGACTTTTTGAAAGGCAACAGTCTGAGTAATGTAAGACGAGCTTTAGAAAAGAATATTTTTTGGTCTTTGGGCATCGTAACATACTGTATTCTAAAGTTCTGTAGATGACTATTTCAGCGAAAATCCTTTTTCGAAAAATATCGAAGCAATCTATTGGATACAATATTTCATATTGTCTCTGTCCTTTCCAGACTCTCGAACTCGTCTGCGCAAAGGCCGATACTCCGTTTCCATGGAATCTCTGTTCGTATAGTAGCGAGCCTGACCTGGCGTACCCAGACTCCCTGGACAAGACCACCTCCTCGGAGAAGACGTCCACCACGGAGACCTCCCGCTTCCAGACGGCGAACACGTTCTTGTGGAACACCGGCGCTGGCGGTAGGTACTACGACAGCATCGATTCCAACGTCGCATCCAGCGTGTTCCACCCGAACGGGGAAGAACTTGCGGAGTGTGATTCGCTGGAAAAAAGATTCTCGGGCTCTGACTGGTCCTCCGATCAGAAATGAACCGCTGGGAGGGTGGGTTGGGCGGTCGCTCTCATCGTGGTTGTCGTATACTCAATCGGGTTGGATTTGTACCATTCTATACTATACTCGAGATTAAAGTAGGTTCTTTGTTAACGAACTTTGATATAGAATACATTTGAATCATATGTTTATCGGGTAATATGGCTACAAAACGTGGCTCGTTCTGCGAATCTAATATCCAATTTACTCGTTACGTATTGAGGATAATGAATATCTGATAAAGTTGCATTTATAGAACTTCTATTGAAATAATCATCCTCTTCTGTAGAACCATGTAATCTAACAATAATCCGTTCTTAAATCGTCAATAAGGCTTTGAAATAAAAATATCCGTTTGTTCTTCATATATAAGAAATGTGTTGATAGTGGTGAACTATGAATATCTGTAAGACAGCTTTTCAATAAAATGAATGAGATACGACAACCACTTCAAATACCTTATGCGCGGCACAAAAAAAAATTGAACCAAATTTTTGTACACTTGAAGTCAGTGCCATTCGTCTCTGTTATTAGATTTAACTGATATTCATAGGTTGATCATTGAATAAATTAGAAAAATTGTAAGAATTGAGGAAAGTATTTTTGTGGTAAAAGTGTTTCAGTTGCGTTTACATGGTGTCCGCAAAGTTGGAGATTTCCTTTACGCAACGTATAGATCATGCGAACATAAGCGGATTTTCTTAGTAGCATATACACCAATGTCTTAAGAGAACCGAGATATTTGGCTCCGCAAACTCAATCACACCCGAACCAAACCGAAGCCGGTCCTGTCCTAACCCTCGATCACGTCGTCAGCGTACAGTTATTCGACATACTACTACGATGTAAATACGGATTTAACGACAGAGCCGTACTTGGAATTTTAATTCAACTGAACAGTACGTCCTTTTGAAATTATTTTTTTAACTTGTTCGCTCACGTTTCACCACACATTAGCTTTGTTATATCACGCGTAGTTGTCTGAAAAGGAAAACCCCAACTTTACGTCAAAACAATCCACAGCCTTTTCGTTTTTTGGACCACAGATTTCAGGGCCTCCTGTTTTAATCTCATTATAACACGTTTGATTTATAACTTGTGAATATCGGTACGTAGGAAATACATATTTTCTTTTAGACTATAAGTGAAAAACTGACTGTAACCTTTTCTGAATGGACTGATACCGTGAAACATTCCTTTTTGTGTGAAGCTGTTTTCAAGAATAAATTTGATAGCAGTCAAATTTCATATTACTTGGAAAAATGATGGTGCTTATGAATAGCAAAATAATAAAATGTTCATTTTTAGAAACCTGGTTACTAAAAATGCGCTCTTCGGTTATTTTAAATCGCTGTGTACAGTATTTTTTAAGTATTTTCTGTATATTGTATATTTTAAGTGATTAGTTTTACCGTATTTATTTGGATTTTTTTATTTGCGCAATAAGAGAGATTGTGCATTATATACTTTTTATTTTGCTGTGTAGGACTGTGATAAGTATTGTGCAGAAAAAAGAATATAGTGGCAACTTAAAAAAATGTTCCTTATGGTATTTACTTCGTTCTAATGCAAAACTTCTTTTTATATGTTACCTTTTACATTGATGGACTAGTGTAAATAATAGAATTAACGGGAGTGATATTTTCAAAGTAATTCAATCAAAGATTTTCAGTTGATCTTTTTCTAGAATGAATTTTTAACAAATCAAGGTGGTACGTCCCTTTTTAATATTTTTCTTCAACCACCTAGTTGCAGCAGTATTCTAAACCTTTTCATCTGACAATTTCATAGTGTGTATAGAGATGACTAAAAAACAATGTTTTAATTTTTTTGTGCATTTTTTCTTCAATCGGAACTTGTTAACAAATATAAGTACAGCTCTGAAATTGTGTGCGAATATTCCTCTTTTATAGAAGAGTAAAACAAGTGATACATTTTATTCTTATCACTTTTTTCTTTTCGGAAAATTTTTAATTTTCTTGAAGCCTCGTCTCGCAGCAAGTTGAGTTTTCAAGGAAAGCAAAGATTATTCAAAGAGAAAAAGTGAAAAGAATGAAAGTAATCACTTGTTTCATTCATCCAGAAAAGTGGAATATTCACATACATTTGTTAAAAAGTTACGATCGAAGAAAAATTCCACAATAATATGCACAAAAATCTATTTTATTAAATACGATGGTTTTTTTAGTCATCTCTATACACATCATGAAGTAATCAGATTAAAAGGATTCAGAATACTGTTGCAAACAGGTAGTTGAAAAAAAGGCGAAAAAAAGGGACGTGCGGCCTTAAAAATGATATCTAGTACTGAGAACGTAGATGACGACGATGCTTTTATGGGAATTATAACTTTGATAAAAAAGCACAGGAAGGTTGTTCCGCTTTCAGTTTTCTTAGTATTTGACGATTTTTTTTCTGGAATTATAATAATTTATAGGATCTGTTGCAATAGCTAGATGTTCACAACGATAATAGAATTGATTTTTAAATTATGTGCAAGACTGTTCAAGCGATTAAGGAATCAACAGTCATCTGTAGGCCACAACATTTGTGATATATGTAGAAATGCTCATCACATATTTATAGTTTATATTTTCATTATATTATATAAGTTGTGTTTGAAAGTATTGTTTCCGAAAAATGCTACTCAAAGAATGCAAATAAATATTTCCACATGATACCATTATCTAGCTGTAAAATTATTCCGGATCAGATTTATAAAATGAATGTTATTTTTGTATCTTTTGAATTTTTCCTTAGCATTTTGTGAATGTTCTTGTTTGCATTTTGTAAGTCTGAAGGAAATATGTTTGGCACTCCAACAGAACTGGTATTAAATCTGCACATTCTATGAGAATGGTCGCATTTATTTGTCTCCCAAACAATAGTTTCCAATTATGACACCAAATACAACTAGTTTCATTGTGACATAAATTAGTTATAGATAGATATTAGAGTCGATAAAAATGCTGAGTTTCACAGATACCCGTTCTGTTGGTGAGTCTGGGAATGTCAAAACACTGTCATGTATATATTTGCTGTTTATACATTAAAAAATCCACATCATATGAACTATAAATGAATAAACAAATAAAGATAATACTGTTGAAAGGAATGTTTTGAGTCAATGCGCAATTATACCCCTACCCAGGCAACGCATCTTCAAATATCAAGAAATTTAAATCTCGCCATCTTTATTACGTTATTACGTATTGAAAAACAAAGCATCCTCCTCCTTACATGCATTGGAGGTTACTGACCAGATCTCGGCAGCCCAAGGTAGTCATTCAAAACGGTGGACTTTGTGGTGGTTACCGATATGCAGCGCCATCTAGTGGAGAGTAGCGGAATAAAGGAATATATCCATCTGTATACCTTTCTTAAATGATTTTAAGCTAATTCTGTCCATTTTCAACTAGATAAAAAAAAATTCGTTTAGTTCGGCTACCATTCCATAGATGGCGGTTCTTGTTAAAGTGTTATCATAGGTCTCACAAATTTTAACTAGTCAAAAAGATCCTTTAGGGGAGGTTGGTCGGGGTTTGGGAGGTTTCTATGGCTACGCATCATCAAAGATCAAGAAACTTAAATTTCCGTGAGGGGGTTAAAAATCCCCCAGTTTTTGATGAAAAGATTATTTGTTTGGATTAGTTATTATATTCTATTACGTATTAGATTTGACTTTGTTGAAAACCAAAGCGTCCTCATCCTTACATGCATTGAGGCTTACTGAATGGATTCCAGCAGCCCAAGGTAGTCATTCAAAATGGTGGACTTTGTGGTGGCTACCGCTAAGCAGCGCCATCTACTGGAGAGTAGCCGAATAAAAAGAATATATCCATCCGTATATCTCTAAGTATTATTTTAAGCTAATACTGTGCATTTTCACCTAGGTCAATAAAATTCGTTTAGTTCTGCTACCATCCTATAGATGGCGGTTCTTTGTAAAGTGTTATCATAGGCCTCACAAAATTTAACTAGTCAAGAAGATTCTTTAGGGGAGGTCGGTCGGGGTTTGGGAGGTTTCTATAGCAACGCATACTTCCAAGATCAAGTAACTTATATTTCCGTGAGGGGGTTAAAAATCCCCCATTTTTTGATGAAAAGATTATGTTGTTTGGATTAGTTTTTATATTCTATTATGTATTAGATTTGACTTTGTTGAAAAACAAAGCGTCCTCCTCCTTACGTGCATTGACGCTTACTGAACGGATTTCAGCAGCCCAAGATAGTCATTCAAAACGGTGGACTTTGTGGTGGCTAACGATACGCAGCGCCATCTATTGGAGAATTGCCGAATAAAAAATATAATCATCCGTATACGCTTCTTAACTAATATGGGGGAATTAATGTATTTTTCGTACTACACATTGAGACTTTCACCAGACTACATAAAATTGCAAAGTTAATTCCACAAGAATCATAAGGCTTGTGGATAGGAGGAAGGGTTGTGCAATAAAACACTCATAGATAGGTTATAACATTATTCAACAAAAATAACAAAACTAAATTAACAATAGAAATAACTTTGTAACAGAGTAAAGCTTGGTCCTTAACAGATATATTTCAAAACGCAACAATATTATGAACACATGCCTAGGCTTGGCCAGGCTTTTTTACAATTTTGGCACGTATATCTGCCAACACCCTTAAACATGCTATAGTTTCTATACTACATCCGTTATACTACTTATGGTGTACAGGGCGTTTCAGAATGCTGAGAAAATAATCACAACAACACATCTTGCGCATTTTTGACTTAATGTTAGAGGAATTTTCAATTTTCTACTTGACGTCAGAAATATGATTTTTGAAATCAAATTCCAAAGCTTATCATCAATTCAACATCTCAAAGTGATTAAATGAATTGAGGTACATATCTCATTTTATTATTATAAATTAATGTATTGTGGGAAAGTCACGCTTTACGCTCCCAATCCGATAACCAGTGAAGCATGATTGGAAGCATAACTTCACGACAATTTCAAAGAAGCTTCACAACAAAAACGCGGTGTAAAATTGCACCTTACATACGTTTCCAAAACATCCTGTACCGTGATCAATATACATACAGGGTTAAAAAAATAATGCCAGAGTAACGTATGGGTTTACCCTGTTGAGTATACGAATTGGGTATCAGAGTGTACGCGAGTATTGTGAGGTGACGTTTGAATTCCAATGTTTGTGCGCATATTTTATCAGATATGTGGTATAATTAGTTTTGGGTCCAGTTGATCGACCAAATCAATCATTACACGGCCCAACAAAATGAAAAAACAAAATTGGTGCAGAAGATTTTATATATTTCTGATACGCTGATTTTAAAAATATACCTCCTTTTTTTATATCTGCTTTTGTTTTCGAGATATAAGCGATTTTTAGCATTTACGAAAGTGCAAGATATGCCATTTACTACCTCGAAAAATAATGTGAACATTTTAATGTTGCCAATTTCTTAAACACCCATTAACAAAAGCCCAAAGCGTTTTCGGGGTACCTTTGGTTTCTAGTTGCGTATAAATTGACGAATTATCTTAATTATATTTATTCAATATGATGTTTAGCTTACATCTACATACAACATATATACAGGGTGATTCACAAGTCGTGACCAAAAATGAAACATCATTCATACGACCGCATTTTGAGGGCTGCATTAAAAAGATTTTTCTAATCTCTACAAAACCATCAACTGGAATGTACTAAAATTTGGTATGTGGATGCATTGACCACATTCAAGTCTTTACTTATAATTAACGATATACTTCAAGATCCAGGGCCATTCAACATTTAATAAACATCGTTGAGAAATCAATTATAAGCAATTATAAAACAAAGGTTTACAATAACAATAAATACTCCATACAATGCTTTAGGATTTTGTTAACGGGTGTTTGAGGGATATTTAAGAAATAAAATATGCCAACTATTACCAGAATCGACCACTGCGAAAGTGAAAACAGCAAGCTGTCTGTTTGAACTGTATGCCAGTTCGCATTGTCAGCCGGTTCACCACTGTGGCCTCTTGATGCCACCGATTCTGGTCATAGGGACTACTCCACGTTGAACAAACTAGTAGGTGTTTCGTGCTATTTGGTAACGCGGCTGACAATGCCATAAAGGAACAACAAACAGCTTGCTGTTTTTGTTTTCGCAGGGTCGATTCTGTTAATGGATATCTGATTTCGATAGACCTTATACTCTGAATAAAGTACAGTTGCTCAGCTGTCGTTCGTTGTGCACCTAGACCAAGCATATACTATGATGAAGAGTTACCAAATAGCAAGAAACAGCTGTCCATGGTTCGCCGTTTATGGTCTGTCGAATGAAAGCTACATTACTAGATTCATATTTAAGAACTTTGGCAACATCAAAATGTTGAATTTACACCAAGTGTGCTAGGACTCGAAGAAGGATATGTTAAATATCTGCTTCAGCCATCTCTAAAGTAAAACAAAGTAACTGAAAAATGACATGGGAAAATGTGTTTCATGGAGAAAGCAGGCTAATCATCAATCTAATCTTCCACTACGATGTATGTAACAACGTGAAGAATTTTTAAACGGAAAACGCATTCATGAAAAAAAATGTATGTATGATCTGAAATCCTGGATATTTTGGACAATGGACTGGTCCTGAGACAATGGAAGTGTTGCGGAGGAATGACGATATTCAGTCAATTGATAAACATGCTTAACGATTTACGAACGGATGTCAAATTCATCACAAAACAAATCTAAGGATAAAGTTTATACGAATCATGACAACAACTTCTGTGTTTATTCATAGTCACAATAATTTGTGGAATGTTGTAATCGTTTGACATCCAAACATTCGAGATCAACAAAGTTTACAAGGAAGAGAGGCCCCACCGAATATTTTTCGTGGTTTATGTACACATTAGGCCCGCACATTTAACGGATTCATATGAGGAACTCGCCCATATTTTTTTCATTTCATAATATACTTTGGTTGATAAGCATATTTGTGTACAAAGGGTGTGACAAAGTTTTTGCCCGCACATTACGTCTCAAATTTTATGACCAATAACATTCAGATTCCATTCAAATTAATTGGCCTTGTGAGGAAGCCAAAAATTGTCAAAGTGGAATTTTCTAAATAGTGGTTTCAAAATATATCGCATAATGCTTCCTGTTCCGGTTTATCTTCGATCTATGCAACTGAACACTGCTAAATACACTCCAGATCTCTACTACAAATGCAATTTATTACCAAATTCCTTCTTCCAACAATGAGTGTTCCATCCAAAATACGAATATCAAGAATCTGCTGTTTATGTTACAATACCCTGCTACGGCCTATTCCTTATTATAGTTAACAGTCGTAATATTACAATATATACGGTTCAAAGTTCAACAGTAATACGGACAATATACATAGATAAATATTGCTTAGAATTCGTGTGTATGAGTAGAAAGAACACCACCGGAAGGTGTATAGAAAGAAGTACAAAATACACAGCTAGATCATAGGAGTATATACAACCAGTTACATAGCTTAGATAGCTGTAGAGTATATACAGAATGCTTATACATGACGTTGAAATTACAGAATACTTCAGAGTCAATGGTATCAACATTTGTGCGCTTTCTTAGGTCTAACATCGAGTTTATCTGCGGTTTTCTCAGAAAATGTGTAATACTGAAATACTGTACAAAAAGACTGTTTTTCCTGATTAAAGTCCAAATGTTTTTGTCAAAAGGGTGCTTCTGTATAATTCAAGTTTCATAGAATACGTTTGATACAGAATGCAACAAATACTTTAATGAAACGGAATAAATGTTTATAAGAATAGTGTTTTCCATTGTACTCCGACGCATTCTATGGATTTGCTCTTATCTTAGAAGGGACAACAGACTTAGTACTACAAATCGTGTGGTACAAATTGCCAAAGATAATATATATGATACTTCCAACATTTTAAAGATATATTTTTAACTGTTTTCTGCCTTAATTGTTATATATAATTATTACGGAGATTCCATACAAATTTAAATGCTAACATCATTTATATGCGTGTCAGTATATATAATTTTATTTACTGGTATAGAAAAATGACACTATATATTGAATCAGTTATTGTAGTAGATAATTTTGCCGGGAAAACTACAAAGTTTGCAAACAATTCTTGACAACCAGGAGGTCAACTATTTTAGAAAATTACGGCATGTGCAGAGAGCCCCAAACTTAGCACGCGATAGTTTAACCGCCATATGTATGGTGAAAAAACTTTCCGCAGGTGCAAGCCTAAATATTGCTTCATGGCTTATTTTTAAGACATGTATAATTACAGGATTATTTTAAATCGTTATAACGGTTGAAGCAATCTCTGAAGTCGAATATTATGACCCAGTATTACTGCTAAATTATCGCACCCAATTCAGAGGTCGTTCAGAATCACTATGAAATTTATATCAGTCACGGTAGTTGTCTTACAAGTCATCAGCACTATTGCCAGACAGCTGTATGTATCTAATGTCCACTTTGCACAGCTAAGTCGTGTATAACAGCCACAAATATCACTAACTAGTTCTAAGAAAAAACTGCAGAACGCCAGTTTCATACAACAATAGACCGAAAGGTTTTGCTCCTTTCTAGTAGACTTAGTTATCTGTTCTTTTGTAGTTGATGTTTCTTTCTGAAACTGACGTTTCTAACAACAAAACATTTCAAACCTCTTCAAATATTGACTGCTTGTGGGAAAAAATTGACAGTTTTGAAAGGGAGCAATCAGATGAATTTTAGCTCTGAAACGCCCTCATACTTCCTTTAAGAATTGTTTGAAGATGAGAATATTAAAATATCCAGGAATAAGATTTAGCTTTTAAAAGCGCTAAGAGTGAACACTGGACAGTTTTCAAATATGTATATGAGCAAAATAATAGGTACTACTGTATTTTATGTGCAGATTAAAATTATGTTATAATGTGCGATATACTATGATATGGTCCATGGTTTTTCAATGGAAGACACTCTATTGCTATAGAAGCTAAAGCTATGGGCTAGCTAATAAGAAGCTAAAATATTATGGCACTTTTCAAGAACGTACTACTGATTGAACACATTTTATACATACCATTTTCCAATTATTTTTCTGCGTGACTCATGAAGCCAAATGCAGTAGTGGTTAAAGTAGAGTACCATAGAACTTTCTCTGAGAATTTTTTTGATAAAAGATACTGTCTGTTCAGTGGCTTCTCTTATTGTGACTGACGTTTTCCATATTTATTGCTTTAGACTTTGTTATTTACTTTTTTGTGAACAGATGTAGCAAAGTTTGAGAAACTTCTTTAAAAAACACCTGTACCTTTACAAAAATATTTGCCTAAAGCGTTGTAAAGCTTCATGGCGAACTGTATGAATACAAGATATTAGGAACAATAAATCCTTTATTTTTTTACGTACATGGCAAAAATATCAATGTGTCAATAGTAAAATTTATATTTTTTTTCTTCAAAGGTCTGTAGATAGAACACATTAGGTAAAATCAAAATATCCTCTTTTTCTGGAAACAGCATCAGAAATATTCATCTTCTTACTCCCATATTGTGAGTCGAAATGTTTTGTTACAGCAATGTGGTTCTGTCTCAGGGAACCTCAGGATGTTGATGTCTCGTCTTTTTGTTCGTACCGAAAGAGAACCAACCGCCTACCTTCTTACCTAAAGAGTTATTGTTTGAATTCAGCTGGAGAGCGGAACCTGTGTAGCCTGTGGAGTGTTTCAAATTTCTCCTCGCTGAAAAAAAAATGAGAATAAACATTAGTTTTAGGTCACTTGATAAGATTTTCCACAAACTTTTAATCATAATGTCGTTTACACGTGGTTTTGCAATTGAGTTTTGGTACTTTACGAGTTTGTAAATTGAAAGAACTTTTTTATTCAAATATATACTAAGTGACATATAAATCCGAATACCCAATTTAAATGGTTTTATTTTAATAAAATTTTGTATAAGTACTTAATGAAGCATAATAAGTCAATGATAAAAATTTCAAAATGATTGCACTGCTTTAAAGCCCTTTGACCTTTAATAATGTGTGGATGCAGCCTGATGTGCTACGCATTCTCCAACGCGCCTAGGCATGCTTCTGATCAGGTGGTCAATGTCCTCCTGTGGTATCTCATTCCAGGCAACCACCAACTCCTCTCGAAGTGCTTCTAGAGTCTGAGGAGGACGTTGCAAATTGAGCAATCTCCTACCCATCATATCACACACGTGCTCAATTGGGGATAAGTCGGGAGATCTTGGTGGCCATGGTAACAATGTGACATCATTATGTTGAAAGAAGTCTATTGTGACTCTTGCAACATGTGGCAGGCATTATCTTGTTGGATCTGCCAGGGTGTCAAGATAGGGTAAAAGATGGGGTTCTAGAACTTCGTGGATATAACGCTGCGCGTTCATGTTACCTCTGATGAAGATTAAAGGTGACCTGGAACCATAAGCTATAGCACCCCAAACCATAACTCCAACAGTGTGATGAACATGTCTTTCAACAAAAAACTGTGGATTCCTCCTTTCACCACGTCGCCTTCTAACCCGGGCACGACCATCGTGCATGCCTAAACAAAATCGAGACTCGTCACTAAAGACAATACTGTTCCATTCCTGATCCCAGAGTGACCGTTGTCTGCACCACTCAAGGCGATTACGTCGGTGTTCTCGAGTTAAAGGGAGGACGCAGTGTGGCCGGTATGAAAACAAGCCAAAACTTCTCATTCGTCGGTAAACACTCCGCATGCCAATAGGTCTTCCGTGTTCTGCAAACCATTCATTTGCAATGGACCTGGTAGTGGAGAAACGGTCCCTTAAGGCCAATAATCTTAGGCGGCGATCTTCACGGTCTGTTGTTCTACGGCGGCGGCCAGTGCCCCTTGCTCTTTGCCTGCGGCCTTCTCGAAGCCATGCCTGACAACACCTAACCACAGTGTCTACACTTCTTTGCACTCTAACTGCAATTGCCCGAAAAGAAAGTCCAGCTTCCCGAAGTCCCACTATACGGCCCCTATCAAACTCACTAAGTTGACGAAATCGTACAGGTCAACGTACTCTAGGCATCGTAACCGATAGTAAAGGATGTCAAGAACCAAAATCCGCCAACGTTGATTCTTTACTGCGGCTGAAATATTCATTTTTAGAGCGTTAGTGAATTAAAAAAAAGCAGTATAAAAATCGGAATGTCAAACTGATAAGGCTGAGAATTTTTTCACTTGTTATTTACAGTAAGATAAATACATTCACCAACTTTTATTAAAATAAAACCATTTAAACTGGGTGTTCGGATTTATATGTCACTTAGTATAATCACAGTTTTATATTGTCAGCCTCAAAATAGCTTCCTTCTGAAGCCACACAGCACTGGAGTGTGATTTTTCAATTTCGGGTAGAGAAAAAAGTCACAAGTACTCAAATCAGGCGAATAATGAGGCTGAGGCGCCACATGAGACATGAACGTTTTAACTGTCCAAAATCTCGTTTACTGACATTTCTGTGTGACACGGAGCATTATCGTGATGTTGTTTTTGATCTATTGAATGGTGGTGTCGATATTCCGGTTAGTGGTTCATCTTCAGTCGACTTTGTTACTTCTGAAAATGCCTTAAACCAAAGAAAAACCTGGGCTCTTGACAAAACACTAGCCCAGTAGGCCTGTTTAGCTAGAGTTTCCGTTGCACTGTGACCAAATCTGAAGCAAAACCTGATAGCACACCGATGCTTGAGATTGATGTCACTCATTTTTAAAACACAACAAAAAAAAACGCCATCCACAACCAAATGACTCGAGCGAGTTCAAGCTTGTACTGAAGGCGTATGATATGTTTTCCTGTCTCTCTTCCAACCCGGACCTCCATTGTTGCCAGGTCGAATGTTCCGTTGCCAGTACCATCCAGTGGCGGCTCGTGAGGTAGTGCCACGGTGCCATGGCACTACCTTGTCTTCTTCAAAAAGAATATTTTTTTCAATCTTCAATGTTTTACTTTATTTTTTGCTTTTTCATTTTTTTTTGGTATAAATTATATGAAGTGACAACACTGACAACGTGACAACACCGCAAGCACCCGAACCACGCGACGAGATATAAAGCATGCCTTGACCTTGACGTCATCAACTTGTGCCAATGTCGGGCCGGCCCAAATAAAAAGAGAGAAATTTTACCAGCATCGCATACGAGCGACAGAGATAACGCTACAATACACATTTTTATATGAGGTGAATAGCGAAAGACAAGTATAATTTGTGCCAGGCACATCATCAGTCGTAATTCGTTATCAAATGATATCGGCGGTGTTTTTGTTCGGTCGGTCGTTTCGTTATGATTACGTCTAGTGCTGATTTCGGTCTTTTTTTACCTGAAAAGTGAGAAATAACGTTTTTGTTTTAGTACGTCTAGTGTTAATGAACTGCTCTGTTTTGTGATCATATTTTTTACTGTTTTATTAAAACTAGTGAAAATGAATAAAATCGGGATATTAAAAAACTCATTTAGTGGTTTTTCGCTGGATCAAAAACTGCAAATTAAAGAATTAGGACGGCCAATACCCGATTTAAAAATTGAGAAACAAAGTGGTAGCGGACAAAAATCGCGCTGTCGCAAATTTAATAAAAATGTGTACGATAAAAACAGCTGGATATGTGGTTGTGAAGAAACGAATAAACTATTTTGTTTTGTATGTGTTCTATTTGGAGGTGACGAGACTTGGTCAAAAAAAGGTACAGATGATCTTATACATATATGGGATAAAATGAAGACCCACGAAAAATCTAAAGTCCATATGAATAATGTTTTTAGCTTTTCTATTCTTGGTAAATTAAATATAAGGACTCAACTCAATTCGGCTTATCGCAATGATCTAATTAAACATAATAATCAAGTGGATAAGAATCGATATGTATTGAATAAAATTATTAATTGTATAAGGTTTTGTGGAGCATTTGAGTTAGCCTTAAGGGGTCACGATGAAAAGGAAAATTCGGAAAACAGAGGCATATTTAAGGAGCTGGTGAATTTTAGCGCCGAATTAGACAACGAATTGAAAGTCCATATTCAAAGTGCCAAACTTTTCAAGGGTACCTCAAAAACAACTCAAAACGAGCTTCTTGAGTGCATGCTAGATGTTTATCATGAAGAAGTTAAGAAGGAGATTGCAAATTCTCCTTTTGTTGCAGTAATTGCCGATGAAACGACTGACGTAGCCTGTGAATTTCAGTTAGTTATTATTTTCAGATATTTGTGTAAAGGACAACCAGTTGAGAGATTTTGGAGATTTTACGTCCCCGACGGACACGATGCCAAATCAATCGCTGCATGCGTTTTAAATGTTGTAAATCCATTAATAGATCAAAATCCAAACAAATTAATAGCTCAAAGCTATGATGGTGCGTCTGTTATGAGTGGTGAATTGAATGGCGTTCAAAAGATTATTAAGGAAACTTATCCACTTGCAAATTATGTTCATTGCTATGCACACCAGTTAAATCTAATTATGACAAGCGCATGCTCTGTCAATAAGCAGGCTAGAATATTTTTCCATAATTTATCTGGATTGTGCTCTTTTTTTTCGACGTCTCCTCAAAGAACAAAAATTTTGGATGAAATAGTTAATCGCAGATTGCCAAGATCTTCCCAAACACGTTGGAATTTTCAGTCACGAGGTGTTCATACAGTTTATGAAAATAGGAAAGACCTGATTGAAGTTATGGACAATATAGAAAGTACTTCACGCGATTCTTCGTCGATTAATCAAGCCAGTGGGTACAAATTAAAGCTGCAAGATACAAATTTTGTATTTTGGCTAAGTATATTCCATAAAATAATGCCACATGTTGAAATTGTCTTTAACCAATTACAAAAAGTATGCACCGATTCTGTTAAGGTCAAAAATGATTTAGAGAATTTTGAAGCAGCAATTCAAACTATACGAGAACAAATGGATAGCATTATTGACGAGATTGAACGAGTGCAGAGAGAAACTGATGAACCGGCAAGAAAAAAAAGGCAAGTTGAAGAAGGCAGCAAAAAACGGGAAGCGTTAGAAATATGCGATGCAGTATTATCGCAAATAAGAACAAGATTTAACTTTTCTGGGCATTTAGTTGCTTCTAATTTATTTGTGTCTGAAAAGTTTTCTGTTTATAAACATCAGTTTCCTGAAGCACATTTAAATGACACATGCACACAATTTTCATTTTTAGACAAAAACAGGCTTAAAACTGAGTTACAAGTATTATATCAGAGAGAAGAATTGAGTACTACTTCTGGAGCTGTTCCACTATCCATTTTATTGAACGAGGAAGGATTAAATTGTACGTTTCAAGAAACTCTTAAGCTCTTAAGTATTTTAATCACTATACCGATGTCAACATCTGAAGCAGAACGCTCTTTTTCAATGCTGAAACGGATTAAAACTTTCCTCAGAAACACAATGAAGGAAGAAAGGCTTAGTGCTTTAGGAATGCTGTCTGCAGAAAAACATTTTGTTAGTGGCATTGAAAATTTTAATAATAAGGTAATCGAAAACTTTGCTACCAAAAAAGAAAGAAGAATGGACTTCATGTATAGAAAACTTTGAAGTTATAGGTACTTCTCCACACTTGTTTTATAATTTGGTGCGCGTGTGTAAATAGTTTTATTTTTGATTTTTTTTTGGACATATAGATTTATTGAACCTCAAGAACTTTGACCACTAACTATCAGGGGTAAGTTATAAGTTATTCTTTACAATTTTGAATCGATTCAAAATTATGGCTTCCATTCTGGCACTACCTCACTGAATTGGCACGAGCCGCCACTGGTACCATCCCCTAATTTAGAGACCTCGCAGTGGTAACTCGGAAACTAGCTGCACTGTATCGTTCGACATATCTTCAAAGAAGTAGGACGTTTATTTTAGTTCGTTAAACGTTGTAGTAGATAGCACTTGATTATGTGTATTTTTCGGAAGTAGCTTAATGAAAAATGTTTCCCATGCGTGTTTTAATTGAACTTATAACGAAATCTGGAATAAAATCTTCTGAAATACTGCGAAAATTTAAAGATGAGGCTAAAGGTTCTAACCCGTTCTGGTTCATTGTGCAAAAGTGTTATCCAACATTGTCACACTTACCCTATAGCCCCGATAAAAGACAAGATGTATAAAATTGGATTGTATACGCGTATACAATTGTGTATTTTACAAGATGCGCCGATCACTGCTTAGACTTTCACAGTTTGCGTATCTTTGGATTCTTAATAATCTACACAAACAATACCGACAAACATACTTACACCTAGGCTTTCTAGTAGGCCTCCTACTCTTCCCCCTAGCAGCTGCCTGCGCGTGCGCTGCCGCTGTAGCTTGCGCTAGCCTCCTAGCAGCAGGCGCAAGCCCTAAATCGCTGTCACTAGCTGCTTCTTGTGCCACTAGACGCCGTTCTTCCGCAAGAGCGCGCAGCCATCGCTGTTTATCTCCTGCTGAGCGACAACAAAATAGAACCGACTCACAAGAGGCAGAGGATTCCGTCGAGTTGCTGACTAGTCGGATCGCATGGCGGACGGTACATCCTAAATGTATGTCTGGAAATAAGATGACGACACTCCTGTTATGTGAAATCGAAGAAATAATTGCTGACATTGAACAGCGGATATAGACGAAATCACGAAAGATGACGATTACGTCATCATTTGAGTCTGTAGTAAAGACAAACGAAGGCAATTTGTGAATATATTTAATTAATGAAGTTTCTGATATGTTAGACAGAGACAAGCAGAATTTTATTGTCTGAACAGTATTGGTAATTTGCATGTATCCGACAAAGATAGATGATGTTTTCATGGCTTCGTTCCAACAAAGCCGTGTACCGTACAGTGAACCGTAGTGAGCGTGCGCAGTACGTTTTAAGTGACACTAAAAACGTACTGCGCACGCTCACGACGGTTCACTGTACGGTACACGGCTTTGTTGGAACGAAGCCATTGTTGCATGATCGATCATATTTGAAAGATGAATAGTTAGGTTATGTTAAAGCAGCCCAACTAGCAAAGTAGTGGTATAAGCTTTTGGTAAAAGAACCGTTCAGCCATAAAAGCTCTCTATTGTTGCTCGAAGACCAAAATGCTGGCTTAATGTTGTGTGGAATGCAGATTTGCTTTCTGCAACATATTTGCTCTAAAATGAAGTGTTTAAAATATTCTTATAGCATAGTTATACAACACCTTATAGGGCAAATTTTTAACTGTTGCATAAACGTTTATACAACTATTTTATACAACATATTTGCACGTTAGTCAAAATGGTTGTGTTGTGGCATCCATGGTAACGTTTATAAAACAAACCCGAGCCTTGTTGTTTTGCTATGCAATTCACTACTTTAGCCAACAAATTGCTCCCAACGGAAGCACTTATACAACTGTTGTTTAGTAACTGTTTAAGGCTGTACATATGCTAAATATGTTGGTAAACAACTTCACCATAACCTAACTTTCTGCTGTCATATTTTTGTAAAATGCCATAATCAATGTTTTAAAACAAACAGCGTATGCATATTGGTTCAAAAGGTTTTATCAACTGTTCAAACAGAAGATATAGATCTGGTACAAATTCTAGGTAAATCATTCCACTCTGTCGGTATTTCATTTCAGACATTTGTCAAATTGTTGTATAACACCTGCAGGCAACACCAAAATATTCTAATAATCTAAAGACAACATGGACGATGCCATGATTGTACACAACCACCCGCCATATTGGGCAAATATTTATTCCTCTATTTAATATTAAATAATTATGTTTTAGTTCGAAATTACAGATATAAAGTGATAAACATTAGTGTAATTGTGTCTAAATATAGGATTTGTGGAAGATTTAACGCAGATAAGTTCAGTTTTCCATCTTAAAAATCTAGACATACTTTTGATCATTGTCAAAATATGAATCAAATACGAAGCCCGTAGAAATTGGGTAACTAATTTGCACGATAATCACAATAAAATTTGCTGCGCAAGTAATTCAATAGCTCTATATCACAGTGTAGAAGTTTATCATATACCTGTGTATGAAATACACAATGGCCAATATATAAGTAAATAAGATGACTGTAATGTGTTAGTTATATATTCTTCACTTCGTCTATACAATACATAAGAAATAGTTTGGTTGCAATAAAGTAGAATCACGTAACAGAATAGTTGTATAGTTGATAAAAACTGAATCTTGCACTGAAAGCAAATGTCCTATAGCGGCTGCAAGAGGCTTACACTTTTGTTTTATAACTGTTACCTGCAGCCCTTATTTAACCTCTTAAATGACTGAAGTGTCCTATTAGGTGTGCCCATTCCGCTTGTATAGCTGTTCTAAGAGGGTTTTGCCAATGTTCTTACAGTATACATTGCTGTTTAAGGAATACTGTATAATCATTCTTGCAACTCTAATAGGAGTGATAATTGTTAGTTGGAAGGTTATGTTGATTTCGAATAATACTTTGGCCTTTGGTGTTCCTGTCTTAAGATATTCTACTCATTACTGTTTTTGTCAAAACAAAAACTCCCCACTAACATTATTATTAAGGTATCACTCAAAACCATGAAGTAACATGAAAATAAAAATAATCAGTGAAATAACCTAACTTCGCAAAATGATAATATAAATTTGTTGTCATTATGTCTGTGACATCGTGATTTTATCATCGACGTACGTCCATTGATTACTTCAGTACAATTTATGTTATGACGTAATAGTCATCTTTCGTGATATTGGCTATATTTTTGTGTCAAATTTACTGTAACCTTGAATAGCTTGTCGTAAAATGAGAGTCAATGATGCTGAAAAACGTTACGTTCATTTTGCAGAGTAAAGTAGAGTTCAAAAAGAACAGTTGAGCTAACCCCGATCATCTCAGGGCATAGGATAAAAAAATGACATTTTTTCAATTATCCGTGAGCGCCACAAGAATATAAAGGGTTTTCTATTAAGGTCTTGACAATTTTCTTTTTAAATAAAACGCAAACCATTTGAGATATCTAGAAAATTTTATTATTGGATTGAAGTATTCTCAAATCATTTATGTATGGAATTCGACGTAGTTCATATTTCACATTTCGACAGAAACGGCCGTTATTTCTCCTTCAATATTGGCTCTGAGCTGCTCTAACGACGCCGGCTTGCTGGCATAGACCAATAATTTAATGTAGCCCCATAAAAAAGTCTGGAGAGGTTATAACACACGGTCTAGGCGGCCATTCGAGAGGACCATTTCTCGATATAACGAATTTGATTTCAATATGTCGAGTGTTTCACCCGCTGTGAAACCACATATTATCAATGTCTAGCCCATCCAGTTGACCAAAAAAATAACGTTGCAACATGTCTCTGTAGCGATCTGCGTTGACTGTAACGGAAAGGGCATTTTCATCAACGAAAAAAACGGCCCAATGATACCAGCAGCATGAAAACAACAACATACAGTTATTTTTGGAGGATAAAGTGGTGTTTCTTGAAGCACATGATGGTTTTCACCTGACCAATAACGCATATTCTGTTTATTGACGAAGTCGTTTAGACAAAACTGCGCCTCATCGCTGAAGATGATTTTGCGATGAAGTTGGTAATTTTCTTGCAACATTTCTAGAGCCCAATTCGAGAACTTACGTCGGTTCATATGATCGAACGGCTTTAGTTCGTGAGTTAACTTGATCTTATAAGGGTGCAGGCCAAGATCTCATTGCAAAATTCGCCATAGTATGGTCTGAGAGATGCCCAATTCTTGAGTACGTCGTGGAATCGATGATTTTGTTCGTTTGCGACGGAAGCCTGAACAGCAGTAATATTCTCGGTACTTCGACCAACCCGTTGTCTCACTGGCACGGGAACATTCAGCAGCGAATATGTGGACTCAATTTTTTTTACTAGACTATGAATTGCTTGTCTACTGGGTCGAGAATTACGACCAAAAAATGGCGTTAATGTAAATTTTATTGATTTGTAAGCTTTGTTCGTTCTTGTACTTCAACATGATGAAAATGTTTTCTTTACTGAATCTTTTGACATTGACAGTTCGGTAATTGATTTAAAGGTGCGTTCATAGTGAAAGTTCAAAGTTGTCAAGTCCCTATTGGAAAACGCGATATTTGTAAGTAAAGTAAAACTAAGTTTTAGTAAAAAGAACGTGCAGTACTCTGAGTAAACTGGAGTGACGTGTGCTATTTGAGATTGTGTGCAAAACGAACGCAACAAGAGCGCAGCAAGTAACTGCTGTTTAATTATTGAAATCAATGTTAAATAAAATATATACATTGCAGAAGTCGTTCTTACATAGCTATATAACAATAATATTTTTGTATATTCTCTTTCAAGATATAGGAAATAAGCTTACCTTTGCCATCGAGTACATCAATAACTTCACAGGTATCCAAGCATATCCTTCCTTTATATACATATGTATGTCTTTTGAAAATATTCTGAAAAAAATAGAAATAAATACATAGTATTGTTTTAATCTGTAAAATTTGTAGCACTCACCTTTTTGCAACAAATAATCTGATGATCGAAAAGAAAAAGCATAATGTTATTGGTCCACATTCCTGTATTTACACGCACTACTTCTGACTGGTATATAAGCTGTGAGCTGAGATCAATGAGGTCTTCACCCTAAAACAATAAAGGTAAGGATTAATATTGTGAATCAATATACCGAGCGCTTCAAATTCGACTCTCATCATTGGGATATCCGAAACGATAAGAGATACGGGATCAGCTATATGAGCATATTAGATCATTGAAAATGGATTTACGTATGTGAAATTCCAAAATGGCGTTATAAGAAAAATAAAGTTGATAATAGTGATCGGAATTTTTATTTTACCTTTACCTTAGAGAAAAATGGGGGGATCTAGCTGGGCAATTTAATAAATACCATTTTGTACAGTGGGAAAGTTAACATTTCAAATTTGAATTACGCGTCAAACGTATACGCGAGGAAGTGGGGAGAGGTCTTGATCGACGCGTTCGGCGTGCGGGTTAAATAGTCACAATGGAACGCTGGACCGGAGCGCAACGTGGTCTTGCTATCGAGGCTTACTTTAAGAGTGGTGATTCATATGCAGAAATTTTGTACACGATACAACATTCGCCGACCAAGAGATACCCCAAGTAAGAAGCTATATAAAAATTAGTTTTCATCCTTATGAAATTCAATCAGTCCATTCTTTAAAGGAAAGTGACTACGTATTACGTAAATCTTGTGCTGAACGGATGTTGAACCTTTTTCCTACGCTGCGCAGACTCGAGAACGTTGTTTTCAGTGACGAGGCCCATTTTCACTTGGACGGTTATGTGAACAAGCAAAATTGAAGATACTGGGCAACAACGAACCCAAAAGAGAAACAACAACATAGTCCAAAGGAGACTGTTTGGTGCACCATATCCTCTACCGGTATTATTGGGCAGTATTTCTTTCAGGATGAAAACGGTCATTCATTGACAGTCAATTCCGAGCGATACAAGGAGAAGATTGACACTTTTTTTGCTCCTATTGTAAAAACAGAACGTCGATTTAATACATGGTTTCAACTGCCCATAGTTACAGAGAATCGATGGACACGGTGAAAGCACTTTTTTCTCAAAAAGTTATAACGAAATTTGGAGACATTCACTGGCCTCCTGGGTCACCCGATCTCACGCCATGCGATTATTTTTTGTGGGGTTATCTAAAGCCAAAGGTGTATTCCAATAATCCAGGAACACTGGAGGAGCTTAAAGACAACATTCGACGAGAAATAAACAACATCACTCCGGAACTCTGCAAGAGAGTGTTTCAGAATTTACGCGCGCGATTAGAAGAGTGTGTCGGAAGGGATGGAAAACATTTGGACGGAATGATATTTAAGAAATAAAACCCGCCGAATTTATGAATATGTTGATAGTAATAAATATTTTCTTTTCAATAAGTTTTTATTCTTTTTCTTAAATCAAAAAGTGAACTTTCTCACTGGACATCCTGTATAATCGAAACCTATTTTATTCGTGTGCAGGTTTGTACCAACTAATCAACCTCATATCTCGTATATTTACAGACATCCGGGTGGTGAGGGTCAAATTTGAAACCGTCGGTATATTGCAGCAAGAGAGGTATAACATTTGAATTCATCTAGTTTTCTTACCTCCCATCCTTCCACCCTCATCTGCCAAGCAGCAAGCTTCTCCAGGCTTTCCATCTTCCTCTTCCTTTCATTGATCAGTACCGCTACCCCTCTCATGGCATCCAATGCTTCTTTGATATTCTCGTAGTCTTCATGGTCAGGTCTTGTATACTTCAACAATTCTGCTAGCTGGAGAGGGTACTTACAGATCCTTTGGACAGGAGTCAGGAGGTAGCCATCAAGAGGGATCTCCATGAGACCTCTCAGGAGCCTGCAAGTAAAAATGTTTACTGATAAAAAGAATACTGCATACTCGCATAGTTAAGTGAGGTCATCGAAAGCCTAGAAATCATAGTAGAACCAGCTTGGACAAGAGGATATTTGACTCAATACGTAATACAAACAAAAAAGTAAATACCATAAGGATGAGTAATATTAATACTTGCTTCTGGAATGAAATAAATCGACTAAGATGATAGACGAAATAAATACGTCCAGCTACTGTAAGAGCATCTGTTTTCAGTCAAGTCTCTTAAGAGCTAGTGTTCATATACTTCACCAGACAGGTATCAGTCTCGCAGGTATTCAAGTTAGGGCATCGCTAGAGATGTTCACTTAAATTAATATACGAGTATTATGTAATATATCACTGTCCTAAGGAGAGCATAGATGTATAAACTTCGTTGGCATTTCGGCAAATCAAATACTATACACATTAACATTTTTTCTTACCTGCATGCTTCAAAAAACTTGCTGTAGCTATTCGATTGGTACAACTCCATCAGCTGCGCTGTAGCCATAGGATGACTGTTGCAATAGTCCGAGTACATCTTGAATCCGGTCCTGTGCTTCAGGAAGACCACGCCCACGTTGTCGCCGCACGCCTCCAAGTCGGCGAGGAAGTCCCGCTGGAAGTCCAGGATATCCTCCAGGTTCACGAAAATCGTGCGCACCAGCTCCTCGCTGAACATATCCGAGCGTTTTCGGCATTCGCGAACGTACCTGAGGATCCAAGATTGCTTTTACTTCGATACTACGCGCGGCCAACACATTCGGAATTCCGATTCGGAATAGCCCAGGAGTATTAGACTTTTTACTTTCCAAAAATGGATATACAGTCGTCAATGGCTTGCTTAATAATCGCCTTATAGCAAACTAATTTTGAAATACTCTTCGAGGTCTTGCAAAGCAAGGTTTTAGCTTTATTTTAGGTAATTGGCGATCTGAAAAATTATAACGATTAATCCTGTGTTTAAGCAATGAATGTACCCATTTTTAGGGTTTTCAGACATTATCATTAACATACAGGTATGTATATGAAAACATTAACATTAGAGAAAAGTTTCTTGATGCCATTTTTGTTCAGAATGATCTATCAAATCTGAAAAACGTTTTGTACGATTTGTTTGGTAGGCTGATTATATACGAGTAATATAAGTAAATATATAATATAGTTTTATAACAGATTTTAAGCGAAATGTGGGGAATTTGTTGGTCGGCAAAAAGTGCGTCTTTCAAACTGATCAATTGACTTCCATGATATTCAGTGATCATTTTTGAACACATTCGCGAGAGAAGTTTACCAGCTTTATTTTTTTTATAATCGAGTCTGTTTAAACGTTTTTTTTAACGAATTACAAACTTCGCCCGGACAATTTTTTTTCAGGTTTTTCAGATCATTCTCAACCAAAAAGGCCTCCAGTAGCTTTTCAATAAAAATGACGAGTTATAAGCGTGACTGAAAAACCTCAAAAATGGGTATATTCAATACTCGAAGGCTCGGCTAAAATTATAATTATTAAGGGCCTAAAAATGTAAAAAATTGGACAACTTGATTTTCGCAGAAAAACCAAGTCTTTTCCATCGGTCTGTCTGAATATCCCATAATCCTTGACCCCTCTAGAACTTGGGAAGTATCGTTTGGATTAAGATGAAATTTTGCCAGAATGTTACTATTACGCCAAAGTTGTTGTCCTTAACAGCTTTGCAGTTTTTGAAAATCCATCAATTGGTGATGGACGAAAAAAATCACACAAACTTCGTTGTAGGGGGTGGGGTGATTGCAAATGTTTCATTTTAGGTATCGGTGAAATAAGTCCTATTATAAGAAACCTCTGGCCCCGGTAGTACTAGGCATATTTATATTAGATTTAATAGTCATACACATTTTTTGTGAAAAATAACAGCTAATTCTTTAGAGAATAAATCTAATATTCCTGGGCTATTCCTAATAGGAAAACTAAACATGTGCTTTCATATGTAAAGATCGCTCCGAAGAACGGTATACGGATATGAAAAGAAAAGCAAGCAAGATAGCAAAACGCCAAAAGCAAACACGTGTTTTCAAATTGGCTAGCGCATAGTGGCGATCAAAGTGACGATATGAAGGAAGCACGTTTTCTTTCAACACCGTTCAATGCGTTTCAAGAAAACGGATGTAGAGCTTCTTATTGCAACAGTTTTTGTTACAAATGTACTTTGTCTATAATTCTGGCAGTTTATGTTCGATTATATGCAAAATGCATTCTCGATATTCATGGAGTTGCTCACATAAATGAAATAATTCATCATATCTGTATCAACTTTCAATTATTCCGCAATCAGAAATTTTCAAAGCATGGGCGCCAGCAGCAATTTTTTTATCTGCCCCAAAAACTTTTTGAATCCTGACAAAATCACAGTAAATATGAAAATTTTAAGGGGCAACTGAATTCTCGGAGAATGAAAGTAGAGGAGGTACGGGTATTCGGAATTCAGATAAGAAATAGTAGAGTATTAGACTTTCCTGCGACAGAATGCAATTTTTCAGCAGATAGAGTATAATATTCCTGGGCTGTTCCGAATTGGAATTCCGAAGACAAGCTAAGTAAACCTTCACCTCAATGACTCATAAAAATGTTGACTGTTTCGGTCACACTGTTCATTAAGATGTTTAACAAGATACGATGTTCAAGTGTTGAACAAATGTGCAATTGTCCTTCAGTTGAAGCTTTTTACTCATTATAAACATTTTTAGTTTAACTATGTTTCTATTCATGAGTAAATTCTGTGCTAATCTGATTACCCCATGTGAAAATAAATACCAGCGCGCGATCTCCAAATATGTGCTAACGCATCATCAATGTTTAGGAATGCTGCAGAAGTAGCGATCGAGCATTTGTGCTTATTTAACGCGGTAACGCGGCATAAATGAAGCTTGAATAGGGTTTATAAAGAGAGAGCTGGGAAATTTGCCATATAAAACAATGTTTATTACACAAGCAGTCGCTGAAAGAATTGATACACCTCAACTTCCTGTAATAATAGAAATGTCGGTGAATTTCGAAGAATTTTCGAAAATTATGGAGAATTAGGGAAATTATTAAAAACATGATGAACGAACTTTCTGAAACTAGATGAACTATTAGGTTTTAATAGGCGATAAGGGGAATTTTGGGAAAATATTTAATGTTATTGTACAGATTATTGGCAGCGGTTGACGCGTCATCATACAGTATTGCATATATACAAAAGTACCACGGCAAGCTTAAGGACTGACCTCCCAAATAACAAAAACTTACCTATATAAAAGTATCACCGCTTTTGAGATATTGAATTTTCACTAAATTTAAAGTAAACTACCCTTTCCATCTATGGTCTTTAGCTGCATGTATAAATAAAGTTATACTTTGTTCATTTTTTTTTATAAAATACTTCTAGGTAGTTGCTTTATCATATAAAAATGCAATGTAGTTGAAAGATATTAAGGAACCATGATAAAAAATAATTCTTTTGTATTGTTACTGACAGGAGTCCGAATTTCAGTAAGTTTCATAAAATCATATCACTAGCAGGTAATAATAAATAATGTAACCAGTGCAACTTGAATTTAAATCCAATAATTACATTGTAGTGTGTGTCAGTCACGTACAAAAGCAGCTATCACTTTTTTCTGTTCCAAATAGTACATGTGGTGCCTTTCTGAAATCTGTATTCAATGAGCAATCTTTTTATTCAATATAAGGCAGTTATAGTCCAGTAAATTTGTGTTTCACCACAGATGGTCATAGTTGAGGAAAAAATATTTGACGGTTATAATAAATCCCAAAATAGTCGTCATTTGATCATGGTTCCCTAATATATTTTAACTACATTGCATTTTTAATAGGTGATTTTTTGCTAGTATCTTTTTGGCAACACTGTTTTTGACAGATGACGCGTGAATCGTGTCTTGTGTCATTGTCAAACTTATTCAGTTTGGTCTATAATTTAACCATGAATCGACTTACGAAGGAACAACGCTTGCAAATTATTGAATTTTACTATCAAAATTCATGCTCGGTTAAGAGAGTGCATCGAGCACTGCTTCCAATTTATGGGCAATTTGTTCGGCCTACTGAGGGAGCTATTCGGAAGCTTGTGACTAAATTTCGAACCCAGTTTACATTATTGGACATTAAACCACCAACACGCAGACGTAGAGTGAGGACCGAAGAAAATATTGCGGCTGTATCCGCCAGTGTTAGTGATGACCGTGAAATGTCGATTCGCCGCCGTTCGCAGCAATTGGGCCTCTGTTACTCCACTACGTGGAAAATTTTGCGACAGGATTTGGGTGTAAAACCTTATAAGATACAGCTGGTGCAAGAATTGAAGCCACACGACCTCCCATAACGTTTCCAATTTGGTGAATGGGCGTTGGCAAAGTTGGAGGAAGATCCACATTTTTATCGAAAAATTGTGTTCAGCGACGAAGCTCATGTCTGGTTGAATGGGTACGTTAACAAGCAAAATTGCAGCATCTGGAGTGAAGACCAGCCAGAAGCATTGCAAGAGCTACCAATGCATCCCGAAAAAATCACTGTTTGGTGTGGATTATGGGCCGGTGGCATCATCGGGCCGTACTTCTTCAAAGACGACAGTGGCCGGAACGTAACTGTGAATGGCGAGCGCTACCGTGCGATGATAATAAACTTTTTTTTGCCCAAAATGGAAGAGCTGGACTTGGCTGACATGTGGTTTCAACAAGACGATGCCACATGCCACACCGCACACGAAACAATGGCCCTATTGAGAGGCGAATTCGGTGAACAGTTTATCTCACGTTTGGGGCCCGTCAATTGGCCGCCTAGATCGTGTGATTTAACGCCGTTGGACTATTTTTTGTGGGACCATGTTAAGGTTAATGTCTACAGGGATAAACCAGCAACGATTGATGCACTGGAAGCCAATATTGAAGCATTTATTCGTGAGATAGCGGCCGATATGTTGGAGAGAGTGTGCCAAAATTGGACCATGCGCATGGGCCATCTAAAGCGGAGCCGCGGCCAACATTTACATGAAATAATCTTTAAACATTAAATTATATCGACCGTTCTATCGACTCAAATAAAGATTCAATCGTTTTTTCAAATTTTTTGTCTTTTTTTTTGAAAATCAAATCCTATACCTCTTAAAAAATCACCCGTTACATATAACATATCATAATAAAGCAACTATCTAGAAGTATTTTATAGAAAAAATTAACAAAGTATAACCTTATTTGTACATGCAGCTAACGACCACAGATGAAAAGGTTCGTTTTTTAAAATTTAAGAGAAAATTCAATATCTCAAAAACGGTGACACTGTCATCTAGGTAAGTCCAAAGCCTGCTTTCTCCTTAAGTTTGTCGTGGTACTTACTGGACACCCTGTATATATATGCTATGATAATATTCAAACGTACCCCTCGCAAATATCCTGGAGCACCTTAACGAAGTCTCTCTCGGTGTTAACGAGCTCCGAAAGCACATTGGCCCGCACTTCATCGTTCGAGAGAAGAGAAACGCTGGTGCGACGACTGGAGGCCATGCGATGGACGCCGGAGGCCATGGCGGCCAGGCAATCCTCGACGGTGTCCTCTTGGTTCACTCGTAACCTTGAAGAAAAAATCAAATCAAAATAATGTCACTTGCTCATGTCAGCAATAGGCATGTTTACACCGAAGCCACTGCACCACAGAATCTTGCGATAACACAGCTGGCTGTATCAGAAAATGGCACAGACTTGTTAATGCATGGAACATCACGATTCTGTGGTTAGCTGGTTGCGGTGTAAACGTGGCTATAGCCAGTTTTCCTCGATGCCATCCTTATACCAATACATAACGGACTGATTTAAGTTGCACGCCATTTTTGATACACGCATTTCAGTAGGTGGCGCCGAGTTATTTTTTAAACCACATGTCACCAATTCATCATGGAGCGCTACACGATCCCACAACGCGTCCTTATTGTTAAAACGATATGAACGGATTTGTTAATAAGCTGAATTGTCGTATTTGAGCATTATTAGAGAACCATCATCGACTACATCCTCGTCGAGTCACAGTTTGGTGCGGTGTTTGGTATGGAGATGTCATTGGACCTTACTTCTTTGAAGACGCTGCAGGTAATTTCTCTTACTCATTTAATCTGCAAAAAATGTGGTTCCAGCAGGACGGAGCAACCTGTCACATAGCTAGGGAAACAATGACTCTTTTGCGAACAATATTTCCGAGACGATCAGATCCTCGATTTGGTGATGTCAACTGGCCATCAAGGACACCGGATTTAACGGCTCCTGACTTTTTTTATGGGGATTTTTAAAGAATAAGGTTCATTCCAACAAATCAAATACTGTAGAGCAACTGAAGAACAATATTACGGAAGCGATTGAAAATATTCCTACCGAAACCTACCAAAAAATGATGGAAAATGTAATCAAGAGGGCTCAGATTTGCGCGGCTTGTAGAGGGGGAATTTGTCTGATATTATTTTTCATACATAAGTTTCAATAAAGGATTAAGATGAAAAAAAATGGACGTATTTTATTTCATTTCAGAAATATTCAAGACACAAACCAATCAGTTACATATCGGCTACACACACAAACAGGGTACATGGTTTATTATTTGGATCTCAAATGCGAAGATGTTTTCCTTCGCCATTTCAAAGCTCAACTGTTGTTTTTTACATTATTTGCTTACAAGACCAAAACAGTACCATTTCTCGCATTTCAGATCCATAAGCAATATACAGGGTGTTCCTTAATGATATGCAAATATTTAAGGGTGTGAATCTACATGAAAATTTAATGTCAGTTTGCTCTATAATCTATGGTCCAAAAATGTTTCCTTACAAAAACTCGGGGTGTTGAAGTTTTAGGAAAAAATGGAAATTAATTAATATTTTCAGAACCGCTTCAGATATTTCACTGATATTTAGGTACGTAGTGAAAGTTAATAAGGCTGCATATTTTTTGCCAAATAAAAATTATTCTTGAATTCCCCGTTCAATTTAAAACAAATGATCTCTCTTGAATTGTTTTCCTTCGATGCGCCTTTTTTTGAGTAAAAAAACGTTCTATTGTCTAACTTGCAAAATTATTATTAACTTAATTGAAATAATTAAACACATTAGGGGTAATGAAATACAACAACTGACAACATAAACATAACATTACAACCAACGAAATGATTACACAAATTGTTGAAAATGGCCCCCTTCACTTAGTATGCATGCTTCCGCCCTCCTTCTCATGGAATTGCGTACCCGTTGAAATATCCCAGGAGTGTTTTTTATTCTATCACAAGCTGCAACTATTCTTTCTCTTAATTCCTCTACAGTGATAATGGGACTTGTATACGCCAGTGTCTTAAGATAACTCCACAAAAAGAAATCTAAACTGTTGAGGTCTGGGGACCTTGGTGGCGATTCTTGGGGCCCACCAATCCAACAATTTGGATAAACAGTTTGTAAATAATTACGAACCGCGCTGGTGCACCATCATGCATGTACCACATATTATTTCTTATTACTAACGTAACAATATCAACCAGCAAAGGCAACTGTTGTTGAAGAAAATTGAGAGGTAAGTCTGTCCGTCAAATCGTCCCGGCAAGAAGAATGGGCCAATAAAGTGTTTGCCAATAATTCCTTCCCATACGTTAATCGAAAATTGGTGTTGGAAATGGGTTTCGGTTACGGCATAGGGATTTTCTTCTGCCCACAAATGATTATTGTGGAAATTCTGAATGGCATTTCAAGAAAAATTAGCTTTGTCCGTGAACAGAATCAGTGATTCAAATTGCGGATTTTGTGTAATTTTTTGAAGACACCACTGACAAAAGGTCACACGCCTTGGAAAATCAATGGGCAGTAATGCCTGTACTCTTAAAATATGGTAAGAATATAACAAAAAATCGACTAAAATTCTCCAAACAATTTGATGGCAAATATTTAAGGACTCGTATCTAGCGATCTTCCTCGTACTCGTTTCAGGATGTTCTTCGTTTTCGTGCAGCACTGCTTCCTCAATTTCAGGTGTTCTCACACTTAGAGCTCTACCTTCAGATGTTCCTTTTCGGACAGAACCAGTTCCAACAAGACGACGATGAATATTAGAAAAGGTTCGAGTATCTGGCAAAGCAAGATCGGGATATCTCTGGTGATAAATCCGTCTGGCTTGCTCACCATTACCGTCGGCAAGGCCATATACGTAATGCATTTGCACCATTTTTGCATTTGAATGGACGAGTCTGGTACATTGAAAAAACGACAGATGACCCCATGTTCGCCTGTCGCTTTGAACATTCTGGACGTATTTTTTGCTACGGGAATACGAATCCCATGCGGTCCTGTCGATGTTGGTTTTGTGCGAGTGGTTTGAGACAAACATGGGGGGTCAAAAACATAATAATATTGAGACAAATATGCCTTAGTATAATGTCATTTGGTACTGAGGTACAGGATTGCGAAGTTAAATTCCCTTATTCGTTATATCTTTATCCCTATAGCTTCGTTCTAGTTCCGTGGCATCGACATGAAAATGGAGGTTTCTGAAGACGAAAAACACATTCTGTTTCAGAATAGGATTAGCTGCACTATACTAGGGTACCGTAAAGAAAGAAAGCAGCATTGCACGCCACTGCAAGCGTAACATCTCCTTGGATACGGCAGGATACGCGCGCACCCACTATGTCGGCCAAAAGGCACGTCCCGCCAGCAATGACGTTCGACGCTTTCTGCTTATCTCCTCCTTCTCGGTACCACAGTGTACAACTTATAATTTCACAATACTGCGCCGCACTGCTAGTATCGTTCCTTTATGTTTTTTACTAAAAATGGTTTTTTTTCACAGAGAAGTGGCCGGGCATGCAGAAGCCTAAATGCCAGGGAACCGCGGCTGCTATGAGTAGAGTAGAGAAACTGTCTTTGTTCCACAATCTTGATACACTAGTAACAAAGGAGCGGTCGCATCGGACGGTTCTGGATGTACGAAGCTCGACACGGTTAGTAAAATTAAAAAAGTACTATACTTTTTTTTTATCGTTATCGACATCGAAATAATACAGCGCAAGGCGACATTTACTACCAGAATCCACAACTGCAAGAGTCACCACTATGACCGCTAGTTGACGATTCTGACGATTGACAAATGTTTCGTACTTTTTGGCAGCTCATCACCATGGTCTAGGCTTGATCTTTGGGACAACGAACGAAAGCATAATAACTATCCTGTATCCAAGGTATAAAGTCCTTCGAAATAAAACAGCGCAAATCGCCAGAATTGACCGCTGTCTTTGACCGGACAGACGAAAGCAACATGTGTAGTTGTTCAATGGCGATTAGATCACATTTACTATACGCCAGAATCGCCAGTCCCCTAGCGGTCACAATGCTGACTGGCGTATCAAATGCGAACCGAGATATGTACATTTAACTCTCGCAGTGGACGATTTTGGTAATAGATGGCGCTCTACGCTGTCTAACTTCGATAGATCTTTTACCTTGCAGCTGTCAATGGTTATCTTAAACGCAGCTTGTTAGTAAAACGGTCCAGCGCTTTATGTTGAATAGCAGTAGCCATGGGAGCATTTTGTTAGTTTGACAACAGTGTTTACTTGGCCGCCACAGTTGATAATTTGTTGCGAATTGTCAAAACTACTCCACATTTACTGCTATTCAGCGTAAATGCGCTACACCGCACTTTACACGTTTTGTCTCGTTTATGTACCTATTAGAAAACAAGTTTAAAATAACTTTCATAAACTGTAGCACAGATTGCGAGCAAAGACACTTTGGCTTTCCTTTGAGTGAACAGTTTTTCATGATTCAAAGGTAGTGAAGATGAAGTTCTACCTCCGCCATACGTGCAGTTTTTCAAAGGTCAAAAGTCTCCTGAGCCCTTGCTTCGCTCGAATATTGCATGTTTGCAGAGTGCATGCACCGTTCCGTGGCTAATCAGCTACCCTCGAGATATGCCGTGTACATATGGCAAATCCACGTGCACAGCTGGGCAAACTTTCTCGAACTCTGTAGAGTTTCTTGCGGATGCAGAGTTAATTCATAGGTAATTATAAGCTATATGCAGATTACTACGTAGGCATCAGAGTTGTGAATCTTACCCATATAGCAATCTTGTTAACCGATTATAGTCCAGTCATACAAGCCAGGATAGTTCAAAGGGGGTATTATACAGGGGGTAAACGTTATGGTAGTCATTCTTGTAATGGGTAATAGGGAGGGGGGGGGGGTTAGGGTCAAAACAGGCCAAAAATTTCATATGATCCATGGTCCAAATGTCAATAGATTTGTGTCTAAATGGCTTTATATTTTACAACTTTAAGTGCTCTATATCTACCACAATCTTACTAATTTTTATAATCTAATCTAAAACGTTTTTAAATTGAGTAATTAACAAATAAATGGCACTAAGTTTTTCTAAGTTAAGCCAAAATTTGTAGTCAGTAAGTAAGTTTCATTAAATTAAATATTTAAAACACACCTAACAACAGCGCGTCGGTATTTCATCACTCTTATCGAACCGGCAATCCATCGCAAACGATAACAGTGGTTAGTTATCGTTTTGCATAGATAAATTGCTTTATCGTTTAGTCGAGCAGAGCATCGGGCGTCTTGTTTTGTTTTTGTTCGCGTACGTCGTCGTGTTTATTTACAATGTTCCCGAATCAATTCAAATCTTGCTGCTCAAATTTATCGCGACAGATTTCGCCAACAGAAGGACATTTGTGCAAGTGTACCAAAGACTTCGAGATACAGGAAGTGTTCAGCTGAGGTTACTGTAGAGCATGAGGAATAAATTTTAAATATCGTGGAAATCAATGCAGATATCAACACTCGGGAATTAGGCCGCCGCGTAGGACTATCTCATATCATAGTCCGTAGAATCCTACGGAAAAATTTGCTTTATCCCTACCATGTACAACAAGTGCAGGCCTTGTTACCAGAAGACTATCCTCGCAGACTAACATTTTGTCAGTGGTTTTTGCACGAAAACATTGAAAATCCCGATTTTTTTAAAAACATTCTAGCGACGGAAGGATGAACTTTTACGCGAGACGGGATATTAAATTTCCATAATACTGACACGAGGGTCCAAGAAAATCCTCGTACCATTCGTAAAGCTAATTTCCAACAACGTTTTAAAGTAAATATTTGGGCGAGTATTCTTGACGATCAGGTAATTGGCCTTTTCGAGTTACCCCCAAAGTTGTCAGGAAAAGGATACCTTAGCTTTCCAGCCAATAACCTACCAGAACTTTTGGAACAGACCTTAGACAACATGCCATTTCAACGGAGACAGAATTTGTGGTTTCTTCATGATGGGGCACCACCACACCTTTTTAGAGGCGTCATTCAGTATTTGAATGAACATTATCCAAATCGCCCTATCGGTCGAAATGCTTCTGATCCTCGAAAATGGCCAGCAAGATCTCCTGACCTCAGTCCGATGGATTTCTGGTATTGGCGAGAATTTGAAAGGATGGTTTATGGGGCTGGTCCAAAAACAACTGAAGCACAATTTCGCGAAAAAAAAATTAATATGACTGAAATAATAAATGGACAACTTCGAGGACCTAGAGTAAGAAGAAACTGGGTTCATCGTAACGAAGCTTGTGTGGAAAGTGGAGGACGACATTTTGAACACCTTCTTTAAATACAAAAAAGGTGCAGTGTGGGTTTTAAAAAGAAAAACAATGTATGTATCAAAATTGTGTTCCCTATTTATAAGTGTATTTTTTTTATACGTTCAATAAACTTTCATACACCAGGTGAAGCGCTGAGACAGTTAGTGGTAAGTCCGTTTTTTTTAATTGTTTGCATTTTACGAGTACATTATCAAATAATGAAATAATACCTAAGAGCCAAAAATAACAAACTTCAACTTTATTTATACTGCGTTCCGTCGTAATTTGCGTCGCACAAAAAAGATATGATAAGTTGTTTACCTAAACAGTTCTGTAAGTGGCGCACTCTAGAAGTTTGGCCATGAAAACTAACGGATTCTTGTTTCTCGTACTAGAAAACCTCTCTATGCCAATAACGAAAAATAGAAAATAATAACATTGTAACTTTGACACCCTGTATGTCGCAAACTATCAACATTTGGACTATGTTTAGGCCAATTCACAAATTTTGGACTGTAGTGTCTCCAGTTTCGAGATTTCCCAACCTTTTGCAGACACCCTGTATAGCAGCAAAGGCCTTGTTAATTTTAAACTGGTAATCAATTGGGTCTGATTAATTGTCACTAGCCCTAATCATCATTCGGTATATTGATGCCCACTAGTAATAATTTTGCTACAGTTCAATAGAGAGCATATATGCATGTACCAATACCAAGCAAGCTTATGAATATTCTAGATGGATATGTCCAATGATTAGGTATTTCATTATTAACACATGTTTTAATTGACTTAGTTTGATACACGTTTCCTGCTGCAGCGAGTAACATGGAGGATTTAGGAAAATCACGGAGTGTTGAGATAGTTAATTTAAGTTCTCAAGTTCTCAGAAAATTGATACAAAGGCAACGATGCATTTATGGGAAACCAGAAGTAGAAAAAAGAAACTTTATTAACCCATCTACACTGAATATAAATGGAAGAGTTATGTTTCGGTCTCGGGTTATATATTCAATATGCCAAATTTGTGCTTTCTTGATAGTGTCTGTCATGTATTTAAGTAAATATCAAAACCTTACTCTGATAATACCAATATGTGAAAAATGTATTTTTAAAAGTGCCAAGACCTACCTGACGAAATGCGCTGGAAACCAACCGCTCCTGCCACCACTTGAGCCCCACCACCAGTCTCTGTTTTTGGTTTCCAGGACCTCCACGAGATCTCCAGAGCGAAAGGCCAACTCCTCTGGTTCGATAGCCACATGGTCGAAAACTGCCTCTGCGAGTACCATTATCTTAAAGAAAAAAATGAGGTTAAATAGAATAATGGTATAGTTCCCAATATTGGCCAGGCATTTATAATGAATTAATTTATAACTGACACGTCATATACGCTCCAAGCAGTGTCCAACCGTGATGAGCGTTCTGGTATGGAACCACACGTATTGCTGCCACGCAACAGCATAGTATTTTCTATGCTCTCACCGCGCTACCACGGTGCCACGTCTGCCCAAGTGAGGTATCGGGGAGAGGCGACGTTTCCAGATTCACTAGGTAGTACAGGGAAGGAATGTCTATGGTCTAATGACTGTTTGACTAACTTCTTTCTCAGAGGGTCTAGTTTGTGTTGAACATATCCATTTATGTACTCAAAAGGACGTTGCGTGGGACGTGCAGATTCAACCTACTTGACCGCACTTTTTATTTTATTGTCGACAATTTTGCCGTCGCTGGACAAATTCCGACAGATGATATCAAGTTTTGTTGTTCTTTAACATTGCAATAATAATTCAAAGCTAAAAATTAATTGATACAGTCTTTGCTCAAAAATGCAAATACCCAAGAACTTTTGAATATACTCTTTAATAGCATGCCCTCAATTTGTTTGCAAAAATCTCATTTTCGCCTCTGGTTATTGCAAACGAACGAAACTGGATTTCGAAAACGGTCATCAAAAACGTAAAATGCTTTTGATGTAGAAACCTTCTTGGGCTTCTAATCGAAGTCAGCGAGAAAATGACATCAAATTCGTAATCCCAAGGAACGGCACGGGTATCATGTAAAAAACCTATAAAACGTCAAAAAAACCTATAAGATGTCATCTTGCAAAGTAGGTAGTTTTTAGGGCGCAAACAGTCATTCCACGTTTGCTCACTAGGATCGTTGTGAACGTCCATCTATAGAGGAATCAGTCAACTAAACTACACGCATTATTGGTTGCATATATTTTGCGAGGTCAATGTCTGTAGTTTGTATCTCTGAGAAGAAAATTGGTTGAATAGCAAGATCGCATCTGGATGACTATGTGTCTGGGTCTGCACGTGAAAAAAATCAGTGATATTCGCTGTGTGAGAAAATCATTACTGAATATGCTGCCAATGAAGTATATCTATTAGCTGTGCCCGACGGGTTATTTTTATGTTGTGCTTTCTGAAGAGAGGTTATGTTCAAAGTAATAAATTACGAAAAACTGAGGGGAATTACGGGAAATTATCACCGCGCCTGCGTTGTGTGTAACTACTGTTAGCTTGTAATTCGACAGTGTACAGTAATATAATTATTTCTCTCTCATTTTTGAAATTCAGCAAATTTGTATATTATGTAATTTCCGGAATGGATAAGAAAAAGTGGCTGCGCAACTAATTTCTAGCTTTGTATCTCAATTAAGTGTATTTGAGACAAGAACCCAATGTAATTATCATCAACACATACAACTTACAGCTTAGGCCTCCAGTAATGCCATCTCTGAAGCAGATTTTACATCACATCAAAGATTGATAACAAGCCTCACGTTTAGGCAACACGTACAACCAAGCGTTAAGTCAACGTCTTGGCGAAAAACCTACATAATGTCAAAAAAAACAGCATAATGTCAAAAAAAATCGGCATAATCTCACTTTTCAAGATACGTGATCCCATAAATCTTAAAGATATCAATGCAAAAATTCCATCAACAGATGCGTGGTCTCTACAATGTTCCTTTTATAATGTAACGTTGGTGAACATAGAGCTTTACTGAATCACTGCTACGCGAATTTTTTTCAAAGAATGGCATTTTGCACATGCTATATAAAAAGCTGTGCCTTAGCTCTGTCTGGTTTGCAGCTCAATCGATCCCCCTCTCCCTTCCAACCCGACATGTCAGTACAATATAAAAAATAAATCAGCACGCGTTGAAAAGAACGCGATGAAAAACGAAAACAATTATTTTTGTTGTGCTGCTTGACAAAAAATCGATACATTACTGTAGGGCATAGAAACAGACTTCTACCCAAATATTTTTCAGTTTAAGGTCGGAGACATTGATGGATGTGTGCTGTACACGTTACATGGAAATAAGATGAATACAAAGCACTCAACAAATTGAGTATATTTTTTAACCGTATCGATATTCAGATACTTTCCAACAACAAGCACCGAGGACTTGATCTGGTACGAACACATCCCGTTATTCGCGGCAGCTACTGGAAAAAAGCTGCTCACATGTTTAGGGTGCTGCCATCTCGACTACATTATCCATGCTCGGTGGTATTCAGAGGAGGGCTGTCCGATTAAGCGCTGACTCTTCTATAACAGTCTCGGGCCCTTTCGCACCTACGGGCTCTCTTCTGCCGCTATGTCAATGGGCTTTGCTCATCAGAACACTTCTCCATGATGCCGTAGCGCGATGTGCCTGCCCGACTTTGGCCTCACATCCTAACCGTGTCAAACTTCGTTCATCCAGAACTGGCCAATACGACCGCTCCACCTGAGGAGGCTTTTCCCAGTTTTACGAACATTTCTTTTAAGCTCCTTGTAGCAGCCACGGTGCCTCGGTATTTAGGCTTCTGTATACGCGGCTGCTTCGGTAAAGAAAAACGAAGGCCAAAACTTAAATATAGGTGTACCAATAAAGAAATAAAAACATTAATTGTTCTATGCAGACAAATACTAAAGTTACATTTTCATTTACTTTAATGAAAAGGAGTTAAATGTTACTTGGAAAGGAACGAGCTCCAATCCACGAATCAGCATCAGTTTCTTAACAAGGTATTTGTAGACTGTAACAGCGGCGGGGAAGTAGAGCATCGCCACTAGGCCCGATTTTGACCCGTTTTGCCAACACTTGTCTACTAATCTGAGTATGCAATTTCAAACTCCATGTCTTCGAATATCTCACTCAGCCTTTAGGTTGCAAAGATACAGAACAAAAACCGGAGATCCAAAGCTTCTTCTTCTTCTCAACTTTTTGAGCAGGAGTTCATTCCTGAACTCAAGATGCCTTCAGGGCTGCTCGACTGTCGGACCTTATAAAAATATGCTCCACTCGATGCACTGTTGTGCAGGTTTCAAGTTGTCCTGCAAATATTCCTCCAAATATATTCTTGCCCACTTGATACGGCTGTCTTGGAAAAGCAACCGTCAATGCACACCGACACGATGAGGCGAAAATATCCTCACTCATCCATTCTTCCTGAGATTTTGGTGTTCTTGGCCACTCTTCACATTTGCGATCCTGGTGTTAGTGGTCAACTGTGATCACAACTTTGACATAACGAATAAACAGCTGTTTGGTGATGACACAACAGAAATCGTTCAAATTTTACTTTTATAACTGAGGTTAATCGGACTTTGCGTGGTTATTTGCATCTCAAATAAACAACCCCATACGTATGTCGACAAAATAGAAAAAAATATCAAATTAAAATTTAATTATCAGAATCAAACATCGAACTTATACGGACCGATATCAGCGAATAAAAAAGAATGCCAATAAAAACCGGCTCAATCCCAAGACCAAATATTGCCAATATCCCAATACGGCTATAGAACGAACGGAATGCCGCTTTGAAATATTTACCGAATAAATACAGAACGATTTCCATACTTTGCCCTCAGTTTATTGGGTCGGAGGATATCGAATACAAACAAGGACTAAACATAGACTGTCTACGCAACTGATATTAAAATAGGTCTGCTTGTAAATTGAAGGAGTATAGCAATGGACAATGTCTAATTTTGGCGTTGTTCTTCAATCTTGCGGCTAGCGACATATTTTGTTTCTCTTATAAGGACTGTCGCAGACATAAATAATATGCAAAAGAATCGGGTAGCAACGCATCCGAGGTACTAGTCCATATTTATATTCTGAAATAAGATTCTATCAATCAAAATATGACTAACTGTGATTCGTATAGATACAAAAATCTTTTATGAGAGGTCTGATAGCATAAATATATTCAAAAAACGAATTATTTTGACTAGTCTGAGCACATTTGGTTAACGGTGTTTTAAACTAATTGCGGATGCCAAAGCTCATCATCATTCTGTAGGTTCATTGCAGCTTCGCTATCGCTATTCATGAATTAAAATCGAGATATACCAAATTCAAATGTCTTTTTTGTGTCCTTGGCATCTTGAAAAATGGGCGTGTCTAGATTTAAAAAAAAACGCATTCTGGATCTTTAAGATTCTAGTTTTTAGGCTCTTTAGCCGAAAATTTTAGGAGCAACGGTTCTCATGCAATTTTTACAGATAGCGCAAGAAGCATTTTTTGCAAAAATGTTTGAATTCTTCTTAGTCCACGGGCTTGAAATTTTTTTTCTGTTGGGCTATTATTTGGTTCGGATAGACCGTTTATTTAGATTCAATACTATGTTTTTAAAATCTCGATACGATCATTTGGCGAGGAGATATCTGATTTTGAATGAAGAAGGATCTTTTTGTCATCGACCACTGATATCTGTGTAACCAGTGATCGCACAGATTATCTAAGGATGTTTCCGAAAACTGGAATAACTGTTCAAAGTTTCTGAATTGCTTTTTTTAAAATTGAATATGTTACAGACATCCTATAGTGACAACAAAAGAAGAAAAATAATTTTTCTATTTTCAAGCAGATTACATGATGTTTTGATAAAACAATTTTGCTCCTTTGATTTCTTTCAAATTTCGACCAATCGGTCCGGAGAAAACCTACAATGGATCGATCAGCCGTCGTTCATTAGCCTTCCCATTGGCAGTTACAAAAATGCAGTAGATTTTCCAAAAAAAAGGAAAAACGTATTTTTCTTTACTTTTTTAAAAAATCCTCAAAGATTGCAATTAAATTTTGTTGAATGTTTACTTCAGTTCGGAAACACCCTTACATTCCCTGTGCAATCACTGGTTACTGAGATATCAGTGGTCGATGACAAATGAACCTTTTTCATTCAAAATCGGATATCTCCGCGCCAAATGACCGTATCACGATTTTAAAAACGAAATATTAAAAGTCTTGATACGCCCATTTGTCACCGAAATCCGCCAAAGACCA